TCTTCATCAACCGTAACTCACTCACTCCCTCCCTCTCTCTCTCTCTCTCTCTCTCTCTCTCTCTCTCTCTCTCTGTGTGTGTGTGTGTGTGTGTGTGTGTGTGTCTGTCTCTCTCTGTTTCGGTCTCTGACTCTCTCTGACTCTCTCTCTCTGTGTCTCTTTGTGTTTCTCTGTCTCTCTCTGTCTCTCTGTCTCTCTCTGTCTCTCTGTCTCTCTCTCTCTCCCTCCCTCCCTCCCTCCCTCTCTCTCTCTCTCTCTCAGGGATCCTTGGTGCTCTCTGAGCTTGCTTGTTTTCTTGCAAACAAGCTCAAAAAGCACCAAGGACCCCTCATTTCAACCCTGAGTTACAAATATTCTTTATTGGTATCTGTCTGTCTGTCTCATCATCATAACAATAATCAAATAATAAAAGATAAAGAGACAGGAAGGAAAAAATCACTGAAACTGATAAAAAAACCTGGGAAGATAAAAGGCCTTTTCACACGCTGCTGAAAGGACTAGGCATTGAGCCACTACATCCAGGCATTTCAAGCATCTTGGATGTAATGTGGCAGATTTATGAAGGTGGCTGGTTGGCTACTCTGCAGGTTTGAATTTCTTGGAATATGACAGATGGTGTAGGTACCAGCGATATAAAAACAAGACTTATTTATAAAATCTGGGTGAGAAGGCACATGGACCATATTGACACATAAATTGTGAAGGGTTAGTTTTTCATGCGACATTAACTCATTTGGCTCAATCCTGATAATCCTTTTTGCTTGGCAGCATTCTATTTTCTTTTCTTTCTTCTGTCTCAGGAAAGGACAGGAGAGGGGGCGAAATTGGAATCTGATTTTCCTGTCATTTGATGCATTTATAATGGAACACAAAATAACCTTGGTTAAGATTCAAATCTTAGAGTAGAACCCATTTGAATTAGTAAGACAAAACAATGCAGCATGATTGTTTTAAAATATCACTCATTTCATTAGCAATAGCACTTAGACACATATATCGCTTCACAGTGCTTTCCAGCCCTCTCTAAGTGGTTTACAGAGTCAACATATTTTCCCCAACAATCTGGGTCCTCATTTTACCCACCTTGGAAGGATGGAAGGCTGAGTCAACCTTGAGCCGGTGAGAATCCAACTGCTGGCTGTTGGCAGAATTATCCTGCAATACTTCTAAATTGGTACTGAAATATCAAAAAGTAAATGGGAAACAGTTAACAGTCAGTTTTCTAATGACAAATGCCAGTTATTCCATTTCTAAGCGGAACTGGTTTGTCCTCCACACTGTGGAACTGGTCAGACCTGGAGACCCACCTGCTGTCTTCAATGTTACCCAAATCACAGCCCCTACCAACTATTCCTTCAGCTGTGCTTGTGTCAGCAGTCAACCATCTTTGGGGGGCATGTTGTACCCCGCCAAAAATGCCACCCAATGGGATCTGACTGTCATGAGATTTCAGATCCAAAGCTACAACCTGATAAATGAAACATTTGCTGATGCTAGTGACTGTGCCGGTTTCTTTTCTCCTGGAATATGGATGGGTTTGCTCACTTCTTTGCTTCTTGTTGCTATCTTCACCTATGGCCTCCACATGATCATGAGCCTCAAGACTATGGTTCAATGGGCATTCTAACCACTGCGCTCATTTCAATGGGTTTATTCTAGGTATGACTTAAAAAGGCACATTGTGCTCTTAAGCTTGTATTCATTCACATGACAGCTTGATTCTCAACCAGCTTAAGAAAATCATTTCTGAACTGAGATACTTTGACAGCAAGGTACTGTACCAGGTGCTCTTCCTGAACAGCAGGCAACTTTGTTTTCCAGTTGGACATTTCCCTGGATTCCCATTATTCTGCTGCATGAAAGTCATGGTCAATCCCCTCCCCTCCCTTCCCTCTCCCTCTCCCCCTCCCTTCCCCCCTCTTACACACACACACACACACACACACACACAGACACACACTATATGTATTATCTGTGTGTACACACCCAAAGTTTACATACTTCTGTATACAAAGTTCAAAGCTTTGAAATAAAATTCCCTTTCTTATTCTTACTTTCTAATAACTCCTAGATTGTTAAGGATATCGTTGCTGTATGTCTAGCCTTGCTGGCTTGATATTCAGGAAAAACATTGTCGTTTTCTTAATTACTATTTTTCTTTCTTTGAACGATGTAGTTTTCCATGTTTTTGTTTGTTTAATATATCCAGCAGTTTACCTTTTAAACATGTCTGAAGTCACCTTTCTTTCAAGTGACTGGATGAGTGATGAAATAATGCACCTCTAGAATTATTTTAACCCAGTAGAAACTAAATAGCCCAGGGAAAGAACAATAGAATAATTTTTAAAGGTTAGGCTGCATTTTAAACCACCCAACTACTTGTATTTTAGCTAAGATATTATTGCAGGTGTATTGTTAAAGGTAACTCTAAAAGTCATTGCACAACACAGCAAGCATTGATATAGTTAAGGAGGCATTCCTGCCCGTGCAAAGAAGCCAATCACATTTCAGAAGTTGGTTTTAAAAAAGTAATATGCTGCAGGCAAAATCAAGAGCTGGGGTGAAGGCAACAGAAACAGGAAAACAGTGTCTTGAGGTAATTTAATGGTGGGTGGGAAGCAGGGCTGGGTTTCAACCGGTTCGCACCGGTCCCTGCGATCCNCTGAAAGCCCTATGAAGCGGTATATAAGTCTAATAAATAACTAAATAAGTAGTACACAAAACCACACAGCCCTCTGGTCCATAGAAAAATTCTCCATGGGATCGGCCCCTGATGCCCAAAAGTTGGCCACTGATGTAGAGAAGAGACCCAGTTTGATATAGTGGTTAAGGCACCAGGCTAGCAAGGAGGAGACTATATAAGTTTGAGTCCTGTCTTGAGTACAAAGCCAGGTGTGGATGGCCTTAGGACACTCATTTCCTCTTGGCCCTAGGAAACAGGTGATGGCAAACTACTGAAATCTTGCCAGAAAAACTGCAGGGATTGGCCTAGGGCAGTTGCCAAGATTCAACACTGACTCAAAGATACAAAAATAAATAGAAAATAGTAGATTGTTATTCCTTTTTATTAAGACAGGTTTCGAAATCTTACAACAGAGTAAAACTCATTGAATAGAATGGACTTACTTCTGAATAATCCTTGAACTGTCTATGACTTTTCATTCTTACTGGTTTCCATTATTCCTTAGGTTTTCTTTCTCTCTCGAACAGCACTCTTAAAGGGTGAACTTCCCGTTGCTAATGTTCTTTGTTGGACATGAAGCTGACAGCACTTACTTCGACTTGCCTCAGGATGATTCTACAAATGTTCATTATAGGCTGGTTTATTATACTGCAGGAACTTAAATGATGAATGGGTTCCTGAGAGCTCCTTAAATTCTTGAATTACCCAAAAGAGCACAGGTGGTTCTTAGTCTTCAGGAGATGATTCAGGAGATAATTGTTAGGATGGCATTTTTCCCACCGAAAGAATCCTTGTTCTCCAATTATTTGCATATGTGTCTGACAAATGGCAATATAGGGGTATAAAGTGGTTGTTTATAACCAAAAATCTTCCTTCCCTGCCAGCCACTTTTATTTCATCTTCCCCAAGCTGAAATCCTTTGAAAATGTGAGTTTTTGGAGCAAAGCATGCTGTCACCCATATGCCTAGCTTCCCCCACCCATTAAATTTTTTTTACCAAGCCTTCTTGTCAAATTCAAATGACACCTTTGGGAATAAATTGAAAAATAGCACAGTTTAGTGGGGTTCTGTCTTTTAATATAATTGGAATATGTTGCCAGCATTCTTAGCTATGGAATAAATTTCTGAGGTTTCTTATTAGACAGTTGAAATGATACAATTGCTTAATCTATAGCAATAGCAATAGCAGTTAGACTTATATACCGCTTCATAGGGCTTTCAGCCCTCTCTAAGTGGTTTACAGAGTCAGCATATCGCCCCC